CCAGAATCCTGCTCAGCAGAAGGTGCTTCTTTATGGAAGAGGAAAGGAGTTGGGCCCAAGGGGCAGTGAATTTTTCTGTGGCCCAAGAAGTCCTGAGAAGACCTGGAAAGGTCTGCATCTAGGTCCTACTAACCATGTTCCGTTCCTACACCCCCTGGCTGCCCTCCTTGGCTCTGCCCGAGGTCAGCACTCAGTGCTTAGAGATTCAGCACCCTGGACAGGGCACAGGGCAGCCCCATGCCAGGAACTCCTGGAGTCCTTTGAATGCCAACCTCACAGGCTACTTCTCAAAGTTCCCCTTGTATTCCAGCCTCTAAGCCTTCGCTCCTGCTGTGCTCCACACTGGTTTGCCTTGTGTGGAACTGTCAGAGTGCACTGTCATCCATGTCTTCTGTTCCCACACCCCCCTCTTCCTCTGGGCCTTTATTGGCTCTGTACCTCTCAAATGGCCCTCGTGTTATTTTCTCTTGTAATATTGTCCCTGAAGTCCTTCCTCTTGTGCAGACTCAGCTCATTTACAGCTAGGACCATTCATATCCCCAGTGTCCAGAACAAGGCCTGGCACCAACTAGGCCTCAGAGAATGTTGCATTAAATTGTGATCTCAGAGAACTTAGGAGGTGAAAGAGCCCTTTGGGAGCTCCAAATCCACAGGTAGCATGTCACAGGTCAAGGCTAATCAATCAGGAGTGGCTTCCAAGGGGACTGTGATGAGGCGGATCCTGAGGCCGAGTCCAGGCTCATGATAGATTAGCCATGTCTGCCTTGGGTAGAGGAGGCGGAGGTGACTGCATACTTGCCATTCCTTGCCTCAACTCCTTACTTTATAGAGGAGGAAAACCAAGGCCAGGGAGGAAGGTGCAGATTCCACTGGGTCCCACAGGGGGTTGGTTGGCAGAGCCAGAGCCACATGCCAGTGTTCAGCCTTAGTCCAAGGCACGTTCCACCACTGCTCGTACATTTTGAGCCACACTGTGTGCCGGGCACTGTGTGAGGTGTTCAAGGGAAGGTAGGATTGGAGATGCAGCTCCCACCGCATGTGACCTTACAGGCCTGTGGGTGAATAAACTTCCTGGAAACAAATGAAAACCAACAGCGACGAGCCCCTCGTGGTCTAAGTGAAGCTGCTGTTTAGGTCCTGGGGAAAGAGGAAAGGGTGGTGGGGAAGACACTGGGCTGGGAAGAAGGGGAGGGCCAAGCCTTGGGTCAGTCTCTGGAAGGAAGGACAAGGGTCTCCTGTCCCCCCCTCCACTGCTCCAGCCTTGGTCCTTGTGACCTCTGACTTGGGGCTGGGGGATCTGTGTCCAGGTGGCCCAGCTGCCCCTGAGCCTGAAGGACAACAGCTGGCACCACATCTGCATCGCCTGGACCACAAGAGATGGCCTGTGGTCTGCCTACCAGGATGGGAAGCTGCGGGGCTCTGGTGAGAACCTGGCTGCCTGGCACCCCATCAAGCCTCATGGGATCCTTATTCTGGGCCAAGAGCAGGTAAGGCTCAAGGTGATATGACGGCTTGAGGCCCAAGTAGAAATCCCACCCACCCAGGGCGCCTGAGGAGAAGGGGCTAGGCCCTTGGAGGGACCCTGAAAGCACAGCAGTGATCACTCAGTCCGATCCAGCCATTCTGCAGGTGGTGTGGCAGACTGAGACCCAGAGAGAGCAAACACCTACCCACAGGGCTAGAGCCTTAGGGGCGGAGCTAGAGCCTTAGGGGTGGAGCCAGAGCCATGGGGGTGGGGCTTCAGCTGGGACAGGGGCCTGCCTCTCTTGAGTCTGCCTGCCTATCTTTTGTGCACCTTCACTCCATGTCTCTCTCCTTTTTCTCTGCTCTCTTGGCTCAGGATACCCTGGGAGGCCGGTTTGATGCCACTCAGGCCTTCGTGGGTGACATCGCCCAGTTTAACTTGTGGGACCACCCCCTGACATCTGCCCAGGTCCTGGGCATTGCCAACTGTACTGGGCCACTGCTGGGCAACATCCTCCCCTGGGAAGACAAGCTGGTGGAAGCCTTTGGGGGTGCAAAAAAGGCTGCCTTCGATGTCTGCAAGGGGAGGGCTAAGGCATGAGGGGCCACCTCGTCCAGGGCCCCTCCCTTGCCTGCCAATTTGGGGACCTTACAGGAGGGGGCACATTCCTCCTCAGCCTACCCACACACTGGCCTCCCCTCCTGCTCCACTCCTCACCATGCCTCTCATTTCCCCCACCTACACCCACACCTCCAGAATGCCCTGCCCTGCGATGGCTGTCCTTTAATCCAGCCTGGATGGGGACCGGCAACTCAATAGGTCAAGCCTGGGGTGAGCCCAGGGCCTGGCAAGGGTGGTTAGCAGTGCCCATGGCTCTGCCCACCCTCCTGGCATTATACCACAGCCGTCTCTTACTCTCACCACACCGTTCCATTAACCACATCTGACTCCACTGATGTCAACAGCACCCCCATGGAGCTGTGTATGGGGGGAGGGCCCGCTATCTCAGTGACGGAAGGCCATCCACTGCCCTGTCCCCCGTGCAACAGGCCTGGCCCCTTCCCCTTCAGAGCCACAACAGGCTATAGAGCTGAGAAGGGGGTGGCAGAGACATAGGAGACTCAGACTCACTCCTCCATCTCTCCACCAGCTGACAGTCAAGGGCAGCGGGACCCTCCCCCCATACCCCACCCCACCCTCACCCACACCCTCTCTCTTCTAACTCTCCTTGTTTCTTTGTGTGCAGTGGATTGAATGTTGGTTTCATGCCTATCCCAACCCCACCTCAATTTCCAAGACATTCCCTTTCCAGCTCTGGCCTGGAGAGTTAGGGACCAAGACCCCAGGAGGTCAAAGGGCCATAGTCACCCCTGTGCCTACCCACAGCTGTGTCCACTGCGGGCATGGTCACTTCTCCCCCTCTGTGGCCAGGACAGGGCCTGGGCTAGGAGTGGCATGAGGCAGAGGCCCTGTGCTCCAGGGGACCAGGCTCTGGCAGAGCCACATTACCTACCCCTCTGCACAGCCCTGCGTCTCTGGGGAAGGAAGAAGCTGAGTGAACAGGGAGAAGCGTGGAGTACTGTGCAGAGCGTTGGATGACAAGGAGGAGCCCCTGGTTCCTAGCCAGCTCTGCTGTTTGGCCTCCTGTGAGTCCCTGCCCTCTCTGGGCTAGCCTTCCTCATTTGTGAGTGAACATGAGATGGTCTATGATTTCAGGTGAATAGGATAGGGCAAGCCTGAGAACTTTCCTGGTGACTGAGGGGCACAGCAGGGGCCGGTCCTGGGACTGGGCAGCACATGGGACCTGGCTAGGCATGGGTCAGGGTCAGCAGCTGGCTCCAGAGTCAGAGGCAAGGGCAAGGGGCAAGGCAGACCAACCTCATGTGCGCACTGTAAAAACCAGCTCTTCTGGATCCTCCCAGCCTGGCACTCTTGTCTGAATGGCTTCCTGGTCCCCACCCTTGGGTCCTCACCAGCTCCCCCAAAAGAGTGGAGGAACGTCAGAGCTGAGCAAGCCACCCAGTCTGATCCCTTACTTGTGCAGATAGGGAAGAGCACAGAGAGGGTAAATGACTTATACGGGATCACCCAGCACAATGGGGCAGAGCCAGGACTAGAACCCAGGGCGCTGACTCCCTATTCAGTGCTCTTTCCCCCACACCATACTGCCTGCCCATGAGGGTCTTTGAGTCCAGCCTTCACCTAGAGGATGGACATCCGAGAGGTGAGAATGCTTTCCAACATGACCACTGGAACATCCGCCTTCATGAAACACATCTTGGCCATCCCCTGCCTCCTGGGAGGCATGATCCCAGGCACCCTGGCAAGAATGGAGAGCTGAGAATGCAAGTGTCCCTCCCCTGCCAGTCACCTACCAGGTCTGGGTAGCTTCAAGCTCCCTGATTCGAGTGGGCACTGGTGCCTTTTGCCTCACTTTTTGTTCCCTTCCTCTGCCTCTCACGGCCACTTAGCCTGAGTGTGGCGTAAGAGCCGCACTGCGGAGGCTTTTCTGAGACTCTTGCCTCCAGCCCCCAGGTCCTTGTTTCCGTTTCCAGAGCACAAGCAGACCTTTCAGCACCTCGGGCCCAGCTCCCCCTAGAAGGACCCAGGAGAAGCAATGGCTGCTTCAGCCTGAACCTGCCGAGATCTCGGTTGCCCTGGTAACAGCAATGACATCAGCCCAAGTACTGGGTCAAGTATCTCCTAGTGACACATGCTGTTGCTGGGGTGATGGCAGAATTTAGAACTTAGACTTCAGGGGCCCTGGACACTGGGCTTTATTGGGTTTCTATTTTTGTTTTTAAGGGAGCAGCTTTTGTGGAGGTCTTGGGGAAAGAAGGAGTCTTAGGATAGCAGTGATGGAAATCGTTTGGTCACTTGAGCCCACCCAGAGAACATCCCAGGTCCCATATGCTTTGTCACGGTGGTGATGAGACACCTGCTGCACCCTGGTCAGCCATCCAGAGGGAACAGGACCAAACTGGAAATGTTGGGGTGCAGGTTGAGCCTGGGCCATTGGTGAGTGGCCTGGATCCCCACTTCTATTCCGGGAAAATGAAAGTCCCCAAGTCCCCACCCTTTCGTACACTGGCTGAGTGCCTGCTGTTTGGACTCCAGCTTTGATCTTCAGCTGCTCCCAGGCATAGCCGAGAAAGCAAGGAAAGAGGGTCTAGAAAGGGCTTGGTTGCACCCCTGAGCTGCTCCTGTCTAAGAGCGATGCTGAGCCCGTGTCTGTGACATCATTTTAAGTGTCAGGCACTGTGCTGAACACCTCACAGTATCATCTCATTTACCCTCACAATGCCAGGACTATTTCCTCATACTCATGAGGAAACTGAAGCACAGAGAGGTTAAGTAACCTGCCCAGTGTCAACCAGCCAGCAAGTGATGGAGCCCAGAGTTTAAAACAAGGCAGGTTACATCGAGGGCCCACCCCTCAGCCCAAGGGAGCAGTCACCCCACATTCTGTGGAGTGGGTTTTGGCCTGAAGGGATGTCCCTGACCCTCATCACCCCACAGAGTTTGAAGTGGAGGGGCAGAGGCACGGCATGGGCCGGCCCCAGGGCCAGGGTCCCCTTGGGTGCGGCTGTGGGAAGGGTCTCAGTCCCTTCAGGGAACTCATCCCTCTGCAGTGTGCCCACCCCTCCTCCACTGGCTGGAGATTCCAGGAGAGCTGAGAGGCCACTGTCTCCCGAAAGCCCCAAGCAGCGGGGGAGGAAACATCTCTCCAACTCCTGCTTCGGGCCAAGCCCGGCTCCAGGTGCTTTACAGCTTTTACCTGCCAGATTTCCCCACCTCTGTGGCATGTTGTGCCCCCCCCCCCGTCAACCCCCCAAGGGGACAGATCACCTTGCCACATTTGTGCATGACCTTGATCCACACATTTGGACAGAAGGGCTCTTAGAGGTGGTTGAAGCCCTCATTTTACAGATGAGGACACCGGGGCCCACAGAGGGTGAGTGGCCCTGAGTGCCACCCAGCTGGGGCACCGGGAGACCTGAACCCAGCTTTCTGACTCTGCGTGTGCTCTCCACAATGAAGTGGCCCCTCCCCAGAACTGGTCCCCCCCTTTTCTGTTTCCCTGCACCTTCGCCCTGAACAAACTGGGAAAGGGGCCCCTCCCAGAGATGGGATCATTTTCCTTACCCCCTTTGTCCCAGCTGCCTGCCACCCCAAGCCCTACCTCCCCTATGACCCCTGACCTCTGACCCTGCTGGGTGGTGAAGAGGCTCATGTGGCCCCAGTTGAGCAGGGACTAGCATGTCAAGCTGTTGGACACTGAAATTAGTGCACCCCCTCCCGTCCTCCTGGCCCTATTTTGTACATAAAGTGATATGAGGTGCAACGTGTGTGCGTGCGTGTGTGTGTGACATATTGTGGATTTTGTCACTTTTTTGTTTTTGTAAATTTGAATGTTCAAAATAAACATGATGTTTACTCTGAGGCTCTTCTTGCAAGGCTGGGGCTACCAGGGGGGCGGGGCAGGAAGGAGGCCGCTACTTGGGGCAGGGCAGGAGGCAAAGACAGGAGGTGCCACCCCCGTGCCCCGAAGCCTCACCCCAAACACCTCTCCCCCCAGTCTGACAGGTTCTGACAGGCGCCAGGTGCAGACGTGCCCCGTTTCCCAGGATTCATGCAGGAAGGATGTAAAGAACACAAGTCCCACGTGGAAAGTGTCCCAGTTCCCATAACTGGGCTTGGCCTCATTCCCAGTACCCCATCCCCACCTCGTGCCCCAGTTCTTGGAACCAGGTCCCTGACTTGTTGCCTGAGACCCAATCTGCCTGAGTCACTTGCCTGGACCCCAGAGTGGTGCCTCCCTCAGAGTCCTGGGGAGATGGGGGAAGGAGGAGGCAGTTGGCCCTGGCGTGTCTCAGACCCTCCCCTCCCCGTGGTCGACCTGGACACCTGACCTGCTTGGCCTCTAAACCGGACTCGCTGACAGTCCCCCACCCACCCCGCCAGCACCCACCCATCCTGGGAGGTCTCGACCTGGTCCCCAGCCCTCCCTGTCCACACCATCTTAGGGACACAGCCTCCACCCTCCTGCTCCACCAATAGTGTCACTGGACCTTGTCCTCAGCCAGCCCCTGTGAACTGCCAAGGCACCAATCAGGGGTCCCGGGGTCACACCAGCAAGACAAGGCTTCCCAGGCTTTCCCAAAGCGTCCCACCTACCAGCAAGAGTGGGTTCAGCCCCACGAGGACCAGGGGTATCGCTGGAAGCAGCCCTTCAGATAGGAAAAGAGTATCTGAAGTCGACTGAGTTACCTGAAAGGTCGTGCCCTGGCAGCGGGGCTCAGCGGTCAGAGCGTTGGCCGGCACACCAAGGGGCCCGGGTTGATTCTGGGTCAAGGGCCCGTGTTGCGGGTTCGCGCCCCGCCCCCGGTTGGGGCAGGGTGTGTCTCTCGCACATCGATGTTTGTCTCTCGCTCTCTCTCCCCACCTCCCTCCCTTCCCCTGTCTCTGAAAAGCAATGGAAAAAAATCTTCACGTGAGAATTTAAAAAAAAAAAAAATTGTGTGCTTTCTTCATTCTGTTCCAGAATGAATCCAGATTTGTTTTTAAATATTGTTTTTAGTTACCACTGAGCAAAATTCAGCTGCAGGCAGCTACGCCTTGCCTATCCTCTCATGCTGAGTTACTTACAGACACGCTCTCTCCCTCTGTCCCCCTCAG